GTACCAAAGATGTAAACTAATCAGAACAGTTACGATGAAAATATTTGTTTACAAAAAAAAAAGCAATATTACAGCGGTAAGTAAGTGACTGAAGCTGATATGCCAGGTGAGGACCGATAGCAGATTTATACTTTGGATTTTGCCAATACTCTAGTTATATAGCAGAAGCACCAGACCAGATATGACAGCAATATCCATTCACAGACTAATGGTAGATTTATAAATATGAAAGATAGATACTGGGAAGAAATATTGTCTAATAAGATATAGCGAACCAGTATAAATATATTAAAAAATATTTACAATCAATTGTTGGGAAGAGGATAAAATACCATAATTTTGAATAAAATAAACAAAAAGAGGAGTTTAGTATTTGACCCCCAATCCCCAAACCATACACTGGTAAAAGAGTTCTGTTTTCTAGAGGGGAGAATTATTTCCACCTGGAATAAGTGAAACACTCACGAAGTATGAAAGAGATACAGAATAAATAGTTGCAACAGTTGGTTGATTTTGTTTAGTGGCATATCAACCACTAAGGGTTATTTAATTCCGAAATCTAAATATTTGGAACACAATTTTATGACTTCAAGTCAATATATTTTAAACGTAATTGTATGCTTTCAACTGCACATAAAATGTATTTTTAGTCATGTTGCTATAAAATGTGTTGTTGGTAATCCTATAAAATTGTATTGTTAGCTTTTTTTCTTAAAAATTGTATTGCCGGTCATTTTACAATAAAAATGTATTTTATGCTTTCATAGTGTTTCGTTTTTATTTAGGGTTTGACTAGTTTTCTATAACTGGGACCTTGACAGGCTCTACAACCCCCCGCGTCTGGGTGGACCTGGGAACAACAGCCATTAAAAGGTGGTTTCACGCTCCTCAAAACCTCCAATCTCTCGATCAGATATCTTGCTACCAGATGTGAGTTTATCATCATACCGGGGACTGTAGTTGAAGGGATTATTCTTGTAAAATTTGTTAAACTGAAGTGGTAATATATATATATATATATATATATATATATATATATATATATATATATATATATATATATATATATAATCATTGTAAGACTATGTAAGCTATAATAAACGTCCTACATGAGCATACTTTACGTGAACGGGTCTGATAAACAAGACGCGTATTCCATTTCGTTTGTGCCGACGATCGCTTGAAATAGAATCTGCATGAAAGCTCAGAGAAAATGCAATGGAATTGGTATCAGATTATAAGAGAATATATAAGAGACTAATTACCGATTTTGGTGGTGTTTAACTTGAACTAGAAAGCGCTTTTTGCATAGGTTTGCTTCATTACAGACATCAGATACGAGGAGATTTAATCTGAAAAAGAGCCAACCGAGATTTTGTCGTATTAAATGTTATTTTAGACCGGTTTGAAGTTTTAAATTATTTCTAGAAACGCTATCAATTATTTTCATTGCTTGCCTTCTACTTGTGGTCTTGTCACAAAACTAAACCTCGCTTAGTAAATTACTATATCACTTCTATAGTGGCTAATTGCAGGACAAAATGAATAAATAACTCCTACGATTCGTCATCTAAAATGACTTCAAACTAAAACGGCTTTTATTGATATAGTCCCAAATATGTCTATCTCACTTTATATATGTATATATATATATATATATATATATATATAGAGAGAGAGAGAGAGAGAGAGAGAGAGAGAGAGAAAGAGAAGGAGATAGAGTGCGACAGACAGACATATTTGGGACTATATCAATAAAAACCGTTTATATATATATATATATATATATATATATATATATATATATATATATATATATATGAGTATAATGAGAACGAAAATAATATAAATTTTAATGTTCACAGCCGCATCGAAACAAGAATGCATCTTTGTAGTGAGCAAGTTGTTTTTGTCCAGATGTAAAATTATATATATATATATATATATATTGCTATTTACTAAGACTTGCTTAAATATGGCACAAGGGCGAATGTACGAAGCACTCAGTGAGGATCCAATTCACTACAGTCGTAATTGATTTAGCTAGACACGATTACTATGCATTACACCAAATTGTACTGCTCAAAATGATTTTCAAAGCGTAACTTAGATGCGGCACAATGGCGAAGGTATAGAGCACTCACTGAGGATTGAACCCACTACTTAGTCGTAATAATAGTTTACTAAGAATAGTTTAAATTTGGCACAGGGCCGAAAATAGGGAACTCCCAGTGAGAATCGAACTTACTACTCAGTCCTAATTGATCTAGCAAGATATATATACAGGAAAGGGGGAAATACAAAAAACACCCGTTACAATTTTTATATCTAGAAATGCTGAAAATACAGAAATTCTATCGCTTTTGTTTTTATTTATATCGCTATTATATTTAAATATACCATATTTTAATAGCAACAGTTTTCTTAGGGCAGGAAATATGCTATACTAGCTTAAAAGCCGCCATATAAGTCGGCATTTAAGATGGCTCCTGTAGAGGCCTCTTGATTGGGCCTCCATCGCAATAGGTAGGGAGAAGGAGATGCGATAGACAACAATAAACTACAAAAGAATCTAAAATTGATCGCAACATTTAAGTGTTCCATTAATATTTAAGCTTACCTTTTAAAAGTTCAACGAAGAAGATGAGCGATTGAGAGTTGTGTCCCTTTAATTGAAAAAGTGTGACACGCTGACATTGTCATTATTTATATAGATGATCTTAGACGTAAATTTACCGTGAAATACTCCGAGATTGGTACATTTGTCATATATTTCACCCTTTAATGTTACTTTCTCTTTTAAGTAAACCTATATAAAACAAAATAAGTATGACTGATAATGGTGAAGTCTCGTGAAAATTTAAAAATCTGTGTATCACTCTTTTTTCCGTGGCCCCAAATAAATATGACATTAGACTTTTTTTATTATTTCACAACTAGTAAGGCGATAAACGCCACTGAGATGCAAATGGTTACTGAGAACGAAAGAAATGGAGAAGACAATAAAAAGATTCAAGGAAACAGAAGATGACGATTGACTTTGCATTTAATTTTTTTTAAGAAAGGAACAGGAAAGCAAGAAACCAGAAGGGATTTCAATAAGATAAGAATACGAAACTATCGGCATAGAACGAAAGGCTATATCTAGTAATTTTAACAGTGCAATTATGTGCCAATCTATACTGCGCTCAAATTCATGAAATGGCGATATCAAAGAGGAAATATTATCAGAACAATCTATCATTAAAATATTTATATAAAATGCACACGGAAGCTACGTTACGGCAGTGGGAAAGTAAGTGAACCCGGGATGTTATTTCAGGACCGATGAAATTTATTTTTTGCATTTTGTCGAGAATTTCTAGATTTATAGCAGAAGCACCAGACCAGATGTAGCAGCAATATCCATCACACAGGCACAAGAAAAATTCTGGCGAGAAAAACTCTTTCGCACGATATAATGAACCAACTTTCCTAACAGCCAACTTAGCAATTGATTCAATATAATCATTCCACTTCATCTTTATTGAAAACGTATAACCGAGAAGGCGCAATGGCTTTCTCTACTGAAGGTTAGCATCAGTCATGCTGATGGAAGGCCAAAATGCCTCTCTGATTATTAAAAGAGATCAGTTTCATTTTGGAGGTGATAAAATTAACAAGATATTTCTTGCCCCATTTAACACTAGATTCTAGGTTATTTTCAAGATCAGCTGCCAACTTGACTTTATCGAATTTATTAGACGTACTATTAAAACAGGAGTAAATAGTTCTGTCATGAGTATAGATAGCTAGTGGAGAACTGATGATATCAAGAATGTTATTGATGAAACTAAGAAGTTGATTCAAGGATAGGACCCTGGTGGAAACTCGTATTAATGTAAAAAGATTTAGAAAAATGACTGTTCGAGTCAACTTTCATTACAGGCAAATACTTTTTGATGAGAAAAATTGAATCAAATAAAAAAAAAACATTAGAGAGAATCACCATAAGCCTTAAAACTGTGAAGAAGCCCCCCATGAAGAAACCTCCTGACCAATGAGAATCGCTCGCGCGAACATATAAAAAATGAATAGCTATTTCCTTTCTTCCTCGTTTTTTTTTTTTTCTCTGTCCTTTGACTTCAGTCACTAGTGTCCTTTTTTATCGAGTTGTCAGCGGTAATGAACGTGACTTCATCGACTGCAGATGCATCTTCCACAGGCAGGTCCCATTTGATTGTCCTGAAAGAGACGTCAAATATTGTAAAACTTTCAGGTATGGCGACTTTGAAAAAAATGCTGCCTAGATACATACAATTTAAATTACATGATCCAGCAGCCCACCAAACTATCAACACTTGGAATTATAAATGTAGCCTTGTGAAAAGGCAAATTGAAATAGCCAAACGATATGAAAAAAATTTTCAAAATTAAATAGACAAAACTTGTCTATATTTTTTAATGAAACATGCATCAATGAAAAAATGCTGCCTAAATACACACAATTTATATATATATATATTACCCGTATTTTAAAGATCTGAATAGCTATTAGAACATGACTTCGTTGTCAAGCTTTTTAATTTTCCTATACTTGTATTTTGATTGGTCATTCTAGCTTTTGTAACAACGCTTTCCCCTGTCGAAGTATCGTTAATTAATTTGAAACTTTTAAAACCACTTATTTTACATTCAACATCATCACTTGATAAGACACCGGGGGTGTTGAAACAAAATGGCTATTTTTGTAGTGATTTTATAACATATTTATGTTATAATTTTTTTTAAATAAATAATATATATATATATATATATATATATATATATATATATATATATATATATATATATATATATACACACACGCAAAACGAAAATGTGCATTTATTTCTCGTTCTTTGTTTTTCGTAAAGTTGTTTCCGTTTCATGCAGCAAGAAATGGCTTGGTTTTATCCATTGTTCGTTATTCATTCATTTTATTCATTTGTTGTTAGTCATTGGTTTTTATCCATTCTCAGCTATCATAACTTTCTCTCTCTCTCTCTTCCACTCTCTCTCTCTCTTCCACTCTCTCTCTCTCTCTCTCTCTCTCTCTCTCTCTCTCTCTCTTTATTAATTAACTTCTCAAATTCTCCTACTAGTATCTTACTGTGAGGGAAGTATGGTAATGTCAGTCGTAATTAAAGATATTACTGTATTTCCCTCACTTCGGGCAGAATGAACATGCGATCTTATCTCAATGTAGTTTAGGCATTTACCTTTAAAATTTTCTACTGTATTTAATAACAAAGAGTTGAAAAAGGATAATTTTCTTTGCATAAAAACGTTGGATTAATAGCAATGAAAACTCACACAATCTCGAAATAATGAAGAAATCTATTATAAGCTATTTTTCTATCGGTTAATAGAGAACGGCATATAGAGCAGGGCTTTAAGTATAATTGACATGATAGAATATTAGCTTTTGCTGATAGTCCAGGTTTTTATATACAAAACCTCTATTCAACTGATAGTATTTATTCCAAATCCTTCAGCAAGTAAATTGGCATTACGCATTATCTCACAAAATTGCCTTTATAACAAATAGTTTTCACGAGTTTGAAACAGAACTGTAATTAACTGCAGTGGATGCGAAATGAAAAAGAATTACGATGAATTTAGTGTCTTTTATTATTTATTATTATAGTATGTGTCTGTAGCATCTCTGGGCTCATTAGGTAATAAAATTATTTATCTATTTAAAGACGGATGTGTAGGCGATGTAATGGATAGTGGGACGGAATGGGAAATTGGAGAGCCCGAATTCCAGTCCATTTACCAGATATTTACCCCGAAGAATTGGAATTGAATACCAGTCGGGTCCGTTACATTTACTCACGCGTAATTATACCCGGAAAATATATGAATCAATTTCCTCTCCCCAACTATGGGATAAATAGTAGGACTTGTGTCTAGAAAAAAATCATTGTTATTATCGACAAAATTGTTAATATCATTTTCACTCGCAGAAAAAAGAAACAGAATTAGTCTTACAATCCGAAATTTGACTCGGTTTTAAATAACCCGCAAAGTGTTGATAAGCCGTAAAAAAGCAACAAATCAATGAATATCTATTTAAATTATGTAATACAATTTTCATTGGACAATATTATAATTATACAAAGTATCCCTAAAGTCTGGATACATAGGCAAAAATGCATATGACAAGAAATGAAAATTTGCAACATTTTATTGAATTGAAATAACAAATAACATCTTCAATATGATTTCCATCATTTGCGATGCAAATTTTGATGCGATTTGCAAGATTCACATGAACTCAATGCAATAGCTCCTCATTACCGTCAATTTTAACACATTAACTCTTTATGCGTTCAATCAAGTGCGTTGCATCTGTGCTTTACATCTGTAAGAACACCTACTTTAGCGTACCCCAGAAAAAGAAGTCAGTTATTTCGTATTTCAACAAAACCATGTTTAATCAGTGGGAGGTAAAAAATATAGTTAATGAGATTTCCTATGTTTCCAAACTTTAGGGACACCCTCTGGTTCATTCACAGTATTAAAGTAGTTACAGAAACTTATAAATTTTTTGAATATAATGGGTTAAATGTGCTGATTAAACATTCATCTATAGTTAGACTTTCTACGCTTATTTTACTTGTAAAAGAGAAAACAACTATAAATCTATTAGGATTCAACTTAAATATATATTTTTTTACCCTCTCTAAAACCTTATCGTTGCTCACATGTTTGGTCCATGGTATCCTTAGCATCTTTCTGTAGAATCATACCTCCGTTGTCTCGGGTCTCTTCTTCATTTTTAAAGAGACCATACAACATTCGCTGCCGTAAAGGAGGAGGGATATCACGTAGCAGTTCAGTACTCTTTTCTTTGTTGCCAACGAAATCCTCCTGTCTTGTAATACTCTGCCTTGCTTTTGGAATGTGTCTTTTGGCAATCCCAATAAGTGACTTTGTACTAAAGGCAGAAGGCCTTATTAACCGCATGAAAAATCAAAGCGCTGATGGCAGAATTTGATAAAAATAACTGAAGCGCTTCTTTATCAATCTTCCGGAAGTTTTCAGCCATTTTTTCCGTTCTCCAGAGGATCTTCTTCACTTGCTATACTAATAAAACACAGCAGTCCTTTTCCCATTCCAGAAGCAACAACATATGCAATATGGGCTAATAAACGCACTCAGAGGTAAATATATCTGATGGTCAACCAATTCTAGATATTGAATTAGTTAACCATATGGTTGGCTCGGCTACCTCATAACATCAATAGATACTGAAATCCAAGTTTCCGAAATCCTGATGTAAGTTTTGAACTAATGACTTGCTACATTTAAAATTATATAGGCCCTGAGTGTTCGCAGTAATGATAGAACTGTTCTAACTGTCGAAATATTTAATATGTTTTAAATGTCATTTAAAAAATGTTATTTTTAGGTGCATGTTGTATGTTGGGATTTTTTATTTTCACATAAATATAGATTTGGAAATGTCGAATGATGGAAGCAATGGTGGATTAGTCAGAAATGTGAACTGGTTCTTACAAATGTCTGGTATTAAAAAGTGTCAAATATATTACGTGAACTATATATATATATATATATATATATATATATATATATATATATATATATGTGTGTGTGTGTGTGTATGCGTATATATATGTGTGTGTGCATATATATTAATGCGTATGTGTGTATGTGTTTTTGTGCGTGTATATATATGCGTATGTGTGCATATATATATGCGTGTGTGTGTGTATATATATATGTTAATGCGTATATATATATATATATATATATATATATATATATATACATATATATGTGTATGTGTGTGCGTATGATTATATATATATGTTTGGATGTGTATATATGCGCGTGTGTGTGTATATATATATGTGTGTGTGTGTGTTTGTGTGTGTATGTGTGTGTGTCTGCGAGTATACATATGTGTGCTTATATATATATATATATATATATATATATATATATGTGTGTGTGTGTGTGTGTGTGTGGATATATATATATATATATATATATATATATATATATACAATCCCCTCCAAAAGTATTCGAACGTCAAGACTAATTCCTTTGTTCTTATTGTTCACTGAAGACATTTGAGTTTAAGATATAAAAATGAGTATGCGAAAAATGTTCAAAATTTCCGTTTTTATTTCCAGGTATTTACATTTAGATGTGTTAAATAACTTAGGAGTTATCACCTTTTGTTTGAACCGACATAATTTTCAAGAGAGCAAAACTATTGGAACATGTGACTGAAAGGTGTTTCTTGTTGCTCTGGTGATGCTTTTTAGATTGATTGTTTGAACATTAAATAGTTGTAAATAATTACCCTTGGTTTTAGCCTTGGATTTCACCTGTAAAACCTGCATTTCTTGATAAAACGGATAAACCAAGATAAAGATGAGAGAGCTGTCTCTGGGAGGAAAGCAATCCATTTTGAAGCTGAGAAAATAAGGAAAATTGATCAGAGCAATAGAAAAAAACTCTGCACATCGGACAATTTGGAATGCCCTGAAAAATAAAGTAACTACTGGTGTAGTGAGTAATAGACAGGGAACAGGTCGGTCACGGAAATCAACAGCAAATGATGACAGAAAAAAAAACCCAAATAGTCAGTGATATCACCAACAACCTCCAGAGTGCAGAGGTGAGCTTTTACAATGCACTATTCAAAAATGACTTTGAGAGCAGAAGTAGAGGGGCCATACCACAAGATGTAAACCACTCATCAGTAGTAAGAATCGGAAGGTCAGATTGGAATTTACAAGGAAGTACAGAGATGAGCGACAAAAGTTCTGGAAGAAAGTTTTATGGACTGATGAGATCAAGATGAGCCAAAGTGACGGAAAGGCCAGAGTGTGGAGAAAGAAAAAATACATGCTCATCTGTGAGGCATAGTTGAGGTAGTGTCTTCGTTGGGCTTGCATGGCTGCTTCTGGAACAGGTTCAATCATATTTATTGATGATGTAACTTATAGTGGTAGGATCAGAATGAATTCAGAAATATACAGAAACATTTTGTCTCCAATTTACAGAGATATGCATCCAAACTAATCGGAAGTTCCTCATGCAGCAGGACAACCACCCAAAACATAACGTCTTGGTTGTGTCGACAAAAACTGTCGACACAACCAAGACGTCATCAGGGGAACAGTTGGACAGTTTACGTCTGGGAAAGTCAATCACCTGACCTTAATCTAGTAGAGCATGTATTTCATCTCCTAAAGAGAATACTGAAAAAAAAAGAACAAAAACTGAAAGAGGCTGCGTTAAATGTCTGGAAATGCATCACAAATTAAGAATGCAACGGTTTGGTAATGTCAATGTGTCGCAGGCTTGATGCACTTATCGTAAGCAAAGATGATGCAATCAAATATGAAATGTTATTTATTTTAAGACTATTTCTTCTTTTATCTTTGATCACCTAAAAATGGCGTGACCTGATACAAAAGGTCTTATGTCCTAAACTGTTTAACACATCTAATTGTACATACCAGGAAATAAAAGCTGAAATTCTGAATGCTTCTCTCATATTCATCTTTTGATCTTAAACTCAAATGTTTTCAGTAAACAAAAAACAAAAAGCATTGGCCTTGTCGTTCGAATATTTTTGGAGGGAACTGTATATGTTTATTGGCTTTAAATAAACTGCAAAAATTTAACAGGCCGTAAAACATTAAATAATATATATATATATATATATATATATAATTTTCTACGCGTAGATTAAACGTGGCACAAGGCCCAAAATATGGAGCACTTAGTAAGGATCAATCTCACTTTTCAGACGTAATTGATATATATATATATATATATATATATATATATATATATATATATTGATAATATTAGTGGTCATATATATATATATATATATATATATATATATATATATATAAATTTTCAAGAGGATAGAATCTAAGTAGAGCCCAATGTCCAGGAGAGAACAAGAATATAATAAAAGGTCAAACACTAACATTCCATGGTTATAATTTAGTACATTGGAATAATCACGATCAATTCATCAGACCTACAAACTCAAAAATATTTTCCGATTTCTCTTTGAAT